TGTCTTTCCATGCCATTTCCTGTGCTGAGAAATTCTCCTTTGTTAGACACTACTGGTCCCTCCTGAGAATATTTTTAAATTATCATTTGATATACCGGCTTCCAACATCTCTTCTGCCTCTGTTCATGTTCTTAGAGAAGACAGACAAGATTTCTGAGAGATGTTCCTATTAAAAGGGTATCCTTCATTTAGTATAACATTGTTACAAGTGTTCTTAATCTCCTGTCCTAACAAATTCCTCTTATCATTCCCTAACATAAATAGTGTTTCACAGTTATAGGTAGGGTGTATGGCATAATGGCTGCACAGTCTTGGCAAGCACAGAGTTGACAACACTAATTTACACACAAAGTTGAGGAAAATGGAATATTGTTCATGTTCTTGCATATATATGTAAATATAAGCAACTGTAAATGAACTACTATTGAAAGTGTCTTTTACAAGTAGTTACTGAGGTAAAATAATTATGTGTATTTTAAGTATCAGCATTCTTTTCAAAACAGTAACTCTCCACTAAATTCAAGTCTCAAGTCCTCAGTAACAAACAAGGCATAGCATCCAATATGCTAATGAACAAATATGTATAATATGTATCATCATCCTTTTAGAAAGGACCACTTTAATTCATCTTTTGTTTATCTCATTTTTTTTAAATTTTGTTTCTAAATTTTCTGGATTTTGTTTCTGGATAAATCATGATCAAAAGCAGTTCATCAATACTTTTATCAGGTGGAACTTGTGAAAATCTCTATGTTCCTGAAAGTCAGTTTGTACAGAACTTCATAAAATGGGAACTTTGAGCCTCATAGCTTTTAAATCCATTTGACTTTTTTCTTGTAAATTACTGTTTTCAGTTCTCACCTATATGAGAGACAGCAGAGCAACCTGAATGGTGGATATGTCACACATAATTTTTCTTCCTTTGTTTGCCATGGTACCTAAATGCGCCTAGCATTTTTTAGACCCTGTCCCTTCTCCAGGAAGCCCCAAGTACAGCTGGAGAAGGGTTCCTTTAGCAATATATTTGCTTTGTAAATATTTTTTACTTTCATACCTTATCTAAAGATTCCTCTTTGCACAGACACAAGTATTTCCAGACCAGTCTGCACTGCCTAAGGCTGCACCCAACCTACACTGCTTTACTTTGTGCTAAAAAAATAAAATTAACCCTACTCTGCAACTGGCACCCTCTTTTACATACTTATAGTGGACCTATAGTAAAGCAAATACTATTTTCCCCAAAGGCTCTCTTTGCATTTAAGCATTAACCTTCTGGGCTGAGAAACAACATCAGTCACACAGGAGACCTGCCCTACTTGATCTGCAGGGACCTAACTTCTTTGTCCTCCATGGCAGGCTTACATCTCCCTAAGTCTCATAAAAAAATTTTTCAGGGTTGTGCAACCCTTGACCACAGCTTGAGTCTGAATCTTAATCACCCATTTTTTATCCCTAAAAGGCTGCATAAGACCAGATTTTGGTAGCACTTTTACTGTTCCTACATGGAAACAATTCACATTACCCCTCTTCCCCCAGACATTACTCTAGCTGCCGAATTATGAAAGAAAAAACGGAGCAACCTGCATTTTTGTTGGTCCTTCTTCCACTGCCAGGCTGAGTGCCCCGAACATACCCACCACCTCTGCCTTTCAAGGGAGGCAGCAAACACCTCCCTGCTGCAGGTCTGAAGGGAACTCACCCTTCCCTTTGCTCTGTCCCAGCTGGCTCGCCCCAGGGCCGGGCTGGAAGAGCTGGAGATGCACCGGGGGCCATTCGCCTCCTCATGGACGAACTCTCCCGTCCCACCCACACAAGGTGGCACTGTTGGTTTTCACTGTATTCGTGCACTCTTCCACCCTCCCCAACACTAGCACTGATTGGACTCAAATGGGGTGATTTTCAACCTTCTTCCGAATCCCTACACTTTTCCTAATTGAAGAGCGGACCTAGTCAGACGTTTAACGTGGGGAGACTGCTCTGTAGGACTTGTTTTTCAGCCCCATTCTCAGCAGTCACCAAAGCAGTGCCCTACAGACCCACAGGGCTGCAGACTCTATGCTGCTGGTAAAGTCAGAGTCTAGTAAAAGCACAGCCTTTGAACAAGTAAAGATAGAGATTCAGATGCTTTAAGACTATGTAAAAAACAATGGTAGAATAGATATTTATTCTTTTAAAAATGCTAAATACCTTGAATTAAATTACATTAAATAATTCCAAGTTGCAACTGTGATCAATACATTAATATATAATCCACCTGCTTTTGCTGTGCTTTTGCTGTGCGCCTATTACTGCTTTTATCTCCCCTATATACTATTGCTTCCTGATTATGCATATTCTCAAAAAACTTGCTTAAATTTGCTTGGAAGAGGAGTTTCAGCTTGATCTGTTTCTTCTGTGCACAATATTCTTCCCTGACTCTACCCACTTCAGCCCATTTAAAATTTCTAGCAATTGAAGGGAGAGTTTGCTTGCAAAGGAACATGCAAAGAGCTGTTTAAAGCTAACCTGAAAAGCAAGTTACAAGGGAGTCAGTCATCCCTCAAAACAGTTACATTTTCTTGACACCTACACCACTCAAGTGATCCTTAAACTTTAAAAGTATTTACCACTAATAGCTCTAAGACTTCCACGTTGCCTTTCACTCAGTGGCACCCACTCGGCTTTAAGTGTCTTGCCCAACCTCAAATTAGGCCAGTTGAATTTGCCAAGTCAACATAACAAATTACTAGATCATTATAAAATCTCTATTTGTGATCAAGGGCTCTCCTTTGAGGAAACACAGCACTCCCTAAATAAGGATCAAATCAACAGCAAATATGATTGAAGTCAGATGAAAGTGATAGTAACTGTCAGTTGAACAAAAAAAGATGGATCCTGATAAAGAAATTGAAAGCAAAGTGTAGGGAACGCTCCCTTTATCCATATATCCAGAATGATTCACATACACTGCTACCATTTGCCTTACCAAAAAATCACTTCTCCCATGCAAAAGAAAAACTTGTGAATTTCAAGTGAAAAATAAATGAAATGTAGAAAAAGATTGTTATTCCATCACTTTTCCATTTTAAAATATACCATCTTGAACAGAAAAACAGTGCTACTTGTCTGCTGACAACTGGTAGATGAAGGAGACTCATTCCCTATTGCTGGCTGCCAGTTTCTTTTCCAGTTTTAATTCCAGAGTAGATCTTCAATATATAAAGTCAGAAGTCTTCAGAATAGAACATGAGTGTCAGATTCCTAGAAATAAACACACAATTTCAGCAACTTCTGCCAAGCCAGAGTACAAGAGGGACAATTACTTCAGTGTTAAAAAAAAAATTCTTTATGTTCAATCCTCTAAGAATAACAAGACAACAGGATAATGTATCTATAAGGAGTAATATCCCACAAGTAAGCCTTTTCCAGGAAAATGATAGTGAAAGGCCCAGCATCCATGCCTAAATTCTGGCAGAAGAGGCAAGAAGCACCCCCTCAGAATGTGTTTCTATTGTCAATGCTGTCCCTCACTCCCAGCCACAGCAGTCAGAGTGGTCCTGGCTACTCCCCAAGCCATTTCTCCAGTAAGGTTCTCCAAATATAGCAAAGCTCAGCAATTATTAGGAATCCCTGGATTTCTGTCACTCTCCCTAAATTATGCTAGGTTGAGGAGGCACTCTGAAATTCTGAGATCTTCTATTTGCTCCTCCCAAAATTTCAAACTACAGCTTTCAGTATAGCTTTCAGAGACCTTCATGGGGCCCCCAAGCAAATCAGGGACATGGCTAAAAAAGAAAACTAGAGCTCCTTAGGAACAGTAGGGGCTCTATATACATATTCTGAAAGCACAATCTTATACTATTTAAAACTATCTATTTATAAAGTCTTCATGGATCTTTAAATATGAGAGGCACTTCAAAAATTAGCTTGATTTACAGACATTGTTTATCACATGACTAATCATGCAGCATTAGAAAATCAAACCAATAACCATTAGCAAGTACATAGTTAACTATCAGTTTAACCATTAGTTTTAACAGCAGGAGAAAGCTGTATTTTGACTCAGTGCTTGGAAGTTCACTGCAGCCACAGCAGAGGAATTGGGCATTAAAATGGCAGGCAAGGCAAAACCCTTTCTTTCCCCAGATCATTTTAAGAAGAAGGCTTAACCTATCACAGTGTTATTGCATGTAGCAACATGAGGAGTTTTAAAATTATTTTCCATAGAACAAAATCTGTTAGTAGGTCTACAGCAGTCCCATAAGTCTCATGATGCATGACAGTGTGATACAGTCCTGTTCCACTGACCCACGTGCATCCCTGCAGGGGCGTATTCACCCTGGTGATTTACACATATGGCATCACTATCATTTGAAACAGATTTGTGATTTATTAATGCAATATATACCAATCCAGCTTTGGGAAAAATGACTCTTCTTTCCTAATCCAACTTAAACACCCGCTGTTGTGGTAAATAGAAACCTCTCTAATATACAACCATCGTCAGCTAAGCGCGGCTAATGAAAGGATATAAGCGAGCTCTATGCTTTAATCGCTATTACTATTAGAGCTGCTGGGAGGACCCGAGGCCACACTGCGGGCACAGCCGAAGAGGCTTTCGGCTCAGCACGCCGCACTCAGACGAGCGTGTGAAACCCTGCCCGCTGTTCCACGGCGAGCAGCGGCCCCGCCGCGCCCAGCGCGGCTCCACAGGTCGCGCTCGGCGCTGGCGGCGGGGCTGCGCCTCTCGGCGGTACCGGGGCCCGGGAAGGATGCAGCCCCTCCTGCGGGTACCGCAGCCCCGTTCTCCATCACTGCAGAGACCACCCGGCCTTCGAGGCCCCGGTGCCCGGCCTGGGCAGCGGTAACGGAGCGGCGGAGGGAGGGCTGCTCCCGCCGCGCTCCGCAGCGGCCCCGGCCCGGCCCTTACCGATGCACCGCACGTAGTGTTTTGCAGGAAGTTTCCACGCTCCTGGGTTTAATCCGTGAAAAGCGGGGCTGGAGAGGAGCGCGGCTGAATAGCGATGGAAAGGGGCGGGCGAAGAGGTGGAGGAGGAGGCGGTAGCAGCAGCGGCCGTGTTTAATTTTTTAATTAGGGCGGTTTGAGCATCTCCCGGCGGGGTCGCATCGCCGGGCGGCGAGGGGAGCCCGGGCGAGCTGCCCCCGCCGCCCGGGACTCCAGCCTGGACTTTGCACGGCCGGCGCGTCGGGCCGGAGGCGCGGACGGCTCCGCGCTCCGCCACCATGGGCAGCGCGGGCGCGCAGGACAAGGGTTCGTAGCGCGGGCGGCGCGGCGGGGCCGGCGGGCGGGGCGCGGGGCTGACCTTGCGGTGCCGCCCGGCCCGGCCGCACTCCGGCGGGGCAGGGAGGGACGGAGGGAGGCGGCGGGGGGAGCAGGGCAGGGTAAGCGCCGAAATCCGCCTTCCTCGGGGCAGCGGGGCCGGTGAAAGCTAAGACTGGGCGCGCCATCCATCGTACAGCAACAATTGCTTTGCAGGTGCTCGGTCTGTCTCAGCCTCCATCCCCTGGGAAGCAGGCAACACTTTCCCACATTCCCAAGTTAAGGATGATGCTAGTAAACGTTTCATTTTCCTGCATCTCTATATTACTCAAATCTAGACCACGTATATGAATTCACAGCACAGAAGCTCTCATCCAATGAAGACTCCAGGCTCATATATTTGCTACAGATAAAATCTTATTTTGGCAATTCATTCCCTGTCGGAAGGCTGGAAGTGTCACAGCTCGGCTGCTGCTTCTTTGCAGGGGAATGCTGTTTATGTGGAAAAGTGTTGCTTGCACCCAGACATGCTGCAAAAACACTGTGTGGGGCTCTCTTTGCAGAGCTGTAAGCCATGCCTTCATTTGCTGAGCATCCATGTCCTGGCCTTCCTACCTTCACCTCCCTGAATGTCTCAGAACCCATACCCTGAAGATACAGTGCTCTCCCCTGCAATTTAGAGAATACAGGCATGCAGTGAGCACATGAGTACGACAAGTCAGCTGTGTGGTCACAGTGCTCCTTTTGCAGCATTTCTGGACATGTGTTATTAACTCAGGTAGCTCAGACTCTTCAGAGAATTCTACATTCATGCTGATTTCTATTTCTAGTCTATTTTATAGAACTTCTCCATTGTTAATCTTTTCTTCTTACCACCTTCTACGACAAATTTCTGTAAAAGCATTTCTGGAACACAGTTTTGTTTCCCTGAATAGATAGTTAAGGGCAAATGAGGTGCTTCCAAAGCTCCCAGAGAATGCCTGTTTATATGTCCTTTTCCAAGTTAGGTTTGCTGTTATTCAAGCACAAGCTCGGGACTGAAGCTATTCAAAGTACTTTCAGAATAACCACATCCATGAACCAGCAGTTGGGCTGTAGACATCCAAGAAGAGAACAGATGGCCACTAATGTGGTCAATTTTGTTCCAAACTGTCATTTAGGAAGTGAGTTTTTAGGCACCTGAGTCATGCCAAGAGGATGAATGCTCCCAGCTTAAGATCCTGTAAAGATACCAGTTTCCTGACTACTGAGCCACTAGAAAAAAATCCTGTAAGGAGTTCTGTGAGAGAAGGACTGAAACCCAGAAACCCAGGAAGATTATCCTGGTTATTTTCTGGATCTTCTTAAGTCTCTCTGTAAACCTGAGAGCAAAGGCTAGGTCCAAAAAAAATGACACCCTGTTACCCCAAACCACCAAATAGCTGGGGCTGGGATCTCCCCACCAAACACTGGCAGAGTTGGGCTGGTGATTCTGCTAGAGAATAAGAATTTCAACATCTTCCTTCCAGCTGCCTCACAATACCTAGTGCCCATGGTGTTCCCTTTCATGCCCCCATAGGTGCAGCCAGCAGCCCCAGCTCATACCTCTGTTTTTCTTAGCTCACTATTAAGCTGTTTTCCTCATTCCTATTTTCTTGAGGATTCTGATTGTTTCTTCTGACCTCAGAAGGACTTCCAGCGGCCTCTTATTTCACAGCAGGATTTTGAGGAGCCTTTCTTTTTGCCAGTGTCTATATGGGTAATGAATCAAAGGAGGAGAAGAATCCTCACCTGTAAAAAAAAGATCAAGCTCTGTCTAGGGCTAGCCCCCACAAAATGGCTCTGCAGATTATAAATGATACAATGCCTGTCCCCATGATGCTGTCCTAAAGGCTATCTTGGAGGATTTTGGGATCCAGGCCAGGTTAGTTAGCATTCAGAGTCTTCTGACTCAGGACTTTGACAGATACACTGCAGCAAATGAAAAGGTATCTGACTAACTGGGAGAGGACATCTAACCTGTGTGCAGCACTGAAATGTGAAAGCAATAAAAGGTACTCAAGGTACCACGGGTTTGGGGATAAATAATTTGAACAAAATTTCCTGTGAACTTTAGGGCTTCAATTACAGTTCTGAAATGCAGGACAAGGAACAGAAGAACACAAAGCTGCACATTAGAGTTTCCCAGAACCAATCCCCCCCAGGCAAAATACACAGTTTTCTCATGCAGCTTTTTCAGGCAAACTATTGTTAAATAAGACTAAGATATCAATTTCTCCCCATTTCAGCATCAATCAAGCTTTGCACAGAGATTTGTCCCATAATGTCTCCTGACAAGCACATAATGTACAAACAAATCTCATCTAATTCCAGTGTGTAAGCTGCAAAATTACTAGGACTGGAAGTCATATTCTTGGAAAATTACTTTGTGGTGAAGAAATGTTATGTCAAACACAAACCTATTTGTCAGCTCAAATTCAGGGTACTCCATGGCCAGCCTACCCCTGATGTTCTTCTCAACATCTTTCAAGACAGTAACTGGGATTTTTGGGTCTGGCTTTTCCAGCTAGTGACTAGGTATAATTTTCCTGTATAAGCCTTGCTCTTAATTTTTATAACCCAATATCCTAGAACTTCTGGAAAGTAATTTTTTTCCTTGACTGGCTTTTGCTCAAATCAACTGACTTCTAACATAAATTTGTGATATTGAACTTTCTGTAAATTTTTTTTCCTGCTGAAGGTCAAACTTAATAGAAAAATTGGAAGTATGCCCAATGGAAATCCATATAACAGTGGGCTTTACCTATGATGTATTTTCAGAAAATAAATATTGGTTGTTGACATTATTTCTAATTCCTATAGGCTGTATCTGGATCTTTCTTCCAGCTTAACAGGAATTAAAACAGTATAACTCAAAGAACAGAATAAATTCAAAACAAGGAAAGATCGCATACAAAGGGCTTTAGAATAAACAGAACATTGGTTGTTATGCTCTGGTAAATGTGTAAAGACTAACAGGAAACATTTAGTATCTACTATACTGAGCTTTATTGCAAAAAAAAGACATACTTGTGTTTTGCCCTTTTGCTCTTTGTTCTAATTTTTTTTTCTTTAGGATAACAGTCAAAAACCCACAAATTTTGAAGTGAGAAAGGAGACATCAAACAAGATAAAAGTTCTGTCCATTTCTGTCTGCTCAGGAATACCAAAAGTTATTTTTACTTTTTCTGTTGTTTTCACTTGTAGGCTGACTCAGAGTATGGCTCCTCTCAGCCATGGCTGCAGTACAGAGCACAGATACTGGAACCCCCTTTAACCTGGCTGAGCAGTGCAGGTACCTGAAGCAGTGTAGCCATGGCAGCACAGAGCTCTGAGTGGCCTAATTACTCTGCCAAGAAATAAATGGATACTGGCAATTCCCTGGGGAAAAAGAGGTTGAATTGTTAATAAAAAGAGTTTCCCCTGAGGCACATTCGTTAAATAGGTGTTTGCAAGAGCCAGAAAACCTCAAGTTCTAACCTTAGAATAAAAATGTCTTTGTCCTTTGGCACTTTTGATGTCCCAGCCTTCCAATTCTCCCACTGTCTATAGATACAAAAGAAAGATGTGATTGCAATATCTGATGGAAAAGCTGAAATAAAGCAAATGATCCCCACCCCCAACTAAAATCTATAGGTAAAATCACCTTAAAAAGACAAATAGAGGAAGTTTCTCCTTTCTGGAAACTTGCAGAGCTCTCCTGGTAGCAGCAGTGGGGTGGAGTTGCTTGAGCATCCTGCTTCCCGAGGACACATCTCAGGGTCAGCCCCCGAGGAGCAGGGGCACACCTCCTGTTTACTGTGCCTGGGAAAATGGCAGGGTATCTATGGGGAAGACCAAGGAGAAGAAACAAATGAGAGCAGGATTTAGGGGAAGGGAATTTAATTCTGTTATCTCTTCTTCCACCAGTCTTTGCTCATACACAAGAATGGACGTGTATAGAGAAAGGTGAAGGGATTTTAGCAATCTGTTCGCTTTCTTACAAGCTCAAAATACACCCAGCATTTTTTTTTCTGAAACTGGAGCCCAAGACTTCAGTAAAATTGCACACACAGTCTTTTATTTCACAAGTTGGATCTATTTACATAGACTCTGAGCTAAATCAAATGAGTAAAACCCACATTATTTAGCTGAAATTGCCTTTGAGGTCAATGCAAGTTTAACTAGTTTAAGCACAGAGATGTAAAGCCATTTCAGGAAACATACCAGGTTTCTGCATGTGGAGACCTTAGACAGTATTGCCAAATCACAATCTGTAGAATTGTGCCCAGTCTGATAAAATGCTGTTTGCAACAACTGAAATTTCTGTTTTGAGGAGACAGAAAGCAGGAAATTGTGAGTCTGCTGTCTCAAAACAGAGGCCAGTAAGTGAATAGTGTGTAGAGGCTAATAGTTGCAATTTTATCACATTAATTTAAACATAAAAAAAAACAACAGGACACTTCTAAAATCCAAGCTGGTTTTCATTTTCAAATGTTCATATGTTACAGCTCAGATATATGCACCCCATTTAGAGCTAACCACACTGATTTGATGTTTCTATGCAGGCAAAGAAGCAATAGAGGTGAAAATCCCACAGAGCCACCAGGATGTGATGGCCAAGGATGAGCAGTAATTACTGCAGCAACACTTCAGCCAGTATGAGTGTCAACGAAATGTCTGCCTTCCCTCTGACTTTAGAACAAAAAACTGGCTTTGCCTTTGTGGGGATTTTGTGTGTTTTCTTGGGACTTCTAATTATCAGATGCTTCAAAATCTTGCTAGACCCCTATAGCAGTATGCCTTCTTCCACATGGGAAGATGAAGTTGAGGGGTTGGAAAAAGGAACATTTGAATATGCTCTTGCATGAAAACTCACAGAATATCCTGCCTTAAATTTGATGTTGATTTCATTTTGGAAACCAACTGCTGTTACATTTGTTATACATACCTGCATTTTGGAGATATGTTGGTGGCATCCATTTTGTTAAATAAATATTTGTTGCAAACTCAAAAGGTACTTCATGTTGCTTTTATTTGATGAACAGTGGAATGGTAGATAAAAAATGTCTAACAGCAAACAAATAGACAAAAAATCACTAGAAAGTTACCATGGGCAGTATTTTAAGTATCAGATGATATCTGGCTCTTCAGAGGAGGATCTCATGTCTACTGTGTCTCATGACAGCTGAAGAAAAAGACAGGCTCATGAATGGTGAATGTTTAAGTGGTACCACCCTGCCCTCCTCATTCAACACAACTTTCTGAAATTCAGTGTCTGTACTTGTAAACACTGAGGATATAAAAGTGAAGGACGACAAATGGTTGTGGCTTAGATGAGGTGTGTGTCCATATTTTTATTCCACTTGGTTACAGAAGACGATTCACTTTAAAGTGGAACTTAAACTGTCTGGTTAACAGCCCCCAGCAGTAATTACAGCAGCCTGGCAAGGCCAAAGCAGACACAATCATGCTGCTTACCCATTTTTACCCAGCCCTCAAGGAAGGATGGGTTCCAGAGCTCTGTACAGTCCAGCACTCTCCACAGCTGGTCGTTCTGTTTGTGCTCCAGCAGTTGTGCCCAGTGTATGATCTGGACTGTCACTGATGAACTGGTCGTGGGAGATCCTATCAAAGCAGAAGTGGAAGAGCAAAAGCAGAGATTCAAATCTGGATATTCAAGGTCACCCTCATACACACAGCTGTTTAGCAAGTGTGACAATACTTGACAGAAATTCAATTCCGTTTTTAAGAAGGCTGGCATTAGAATTTTAGGCACTGTCACTTTTGCTAAACAGATCTGTTTGCAATGAGGAGCTAAGACAAGGAGATCAGTTACAGCAGTTGTTTTCTTTTTCCTGTATTCTGAAAAATACATGTTATTCCTTTTGCCCTATATACTAGGCAGAGGCAGACAGTGGAACAGCAGAACTCAAGTGCCATTTGGAACATAAAATACTCGATTGTACAGAGAAGGACATTAATATCCTGTCTAAAAAATACAGGAGATGAACAGCCAATATTAATCTACACTGGTCGATTTAAATTACAAAACATAAACAATTTTTTGAATGTAAGGGCTTTCAACTGCTTCAGATTATACACAAGAAAAAATTCCAGACCATCAGAGATTCAGTATATTGCATTTATCCTAGTTAATTTAGCCATAAAATCCAAGGCAGATATCAGTACAATGATTCATGTGATCTGTTATTGCTGGATAGGATCATCCACTGCAGAGACCTGACACTGCCATTCTTTTTATGTACATCTAATCAGCACAGCTGAGCTCTGGGCTGTCAGGTTAGAATGCTGAAGGTACTTAAGCTATCTGGGTTAAATATAGTTCAGTTATCTCTAAACTACACAGCAAACACTGCAAACATATCCAAAGAACCCCAATATTGTCTTATTATTTTTGTTCTTGACCCAATCTATTGCTGGAAGCAAATTATCTAATTCCCTTCTAATCACAAAGCCTCATAATTTCCTGCCTGCTCTTTTCTTCATTCCAAAAAGACTAGGAAGTTAGCCTTCCCATAAACAATACAGAGAACAGAATTTTTCAAAGGCTTATTAAACATACAGAGTAAAACTTTAAATAGGGTCAGGAGTAAATGGTTTAAAACCACATGTAGGACAAGAGGACCCCCCAAAGAATGATCCCACTGACTTCACGGAATCTTCTGCATAAGCACTGAGCAGATCCTGTCCTGAACTCCTGTTATCTGTATGACTATATATGCAGAACTGAAAGATAGACAGAGTATGATCTGTGCAGAATCAGGCATAGCGGGGAGGGAAATGGAGATAACAAAAGTATTTTCAGGCCCCCTCAGAAATTTCGCAATGCCATAAACCCAGTAATTGTAATGGATAGGTACATTTGCTGGTTAAAAGTTAACAAGCTAGAATGCCTTTCTAAATCATCATCTAGAAATGTTTTGAAAGAGAGGGATTGGATGCCCTACTCAGTATATTAAACAGGAGAAAAATCTGGCCAATAAGGCAGAGTCTGTAATGCCTCAAAGAGAGGGTCACACTATATGCATGAATAAAAGAGGCAGATTGTCCTTCCCCAAAAACACAGGACTGAATGGTAAGTTAAATTACCCTGAATAAGGTAGACTTGATTATATATGCATAATGCTGGAAAACTAAACACAAAGTTAATGGCAAATAACAATTCAGAGATCTCTGGAAATACATTGTGAAAAGCTAAGTATTATTTTCAAGAACAGCAGAAAGGTAAGAGATTTTACTTTTCCTAGCAAAACAATAATATGGAAATAAGACAAATAAATGACAGAATCATTTTACTTGGTAGCAAACGTTTCATTGTCATCAGAGAATCAGGATTTCATTCAGTCTCAGAGATGGAAACAAACATAGTTTCACTGACCTCAATGACAGAAGATTTGTCTTTGCTCCTTCATGCCTGAAGATGAAACACTTCCTTGCAACTTTAAAAGGCTGAAGGAAGCAGAATACTATGATCATAAACGTGTAATAATAATAATAACAATAATAATACAAAACCAGTAGAAGTAAAATAAACTAAATAAATGTAATAGGTTGCTGTGAGGCTTATACACCATTAAGCAGGAAAACTAACATAAATATGAGTAGTGACAAAGTAGTGTCTTAGCAAAAAGGTGACAGCAGAATTATATTATTGATGGAAGAAATAAGAAAATATGCTTTAGCTGTAACTCATACTGAAGATAGAAGATATCTGATTATCAGCTCTTCAAATTATAATTTGGATATGTGATTTTAGAGAAAATGTATGGTGCTAAGCTATAAATATTGATGTTGTATTTTATCTTTCCGTGCCAAAGGGCCAAGTCATTGAGAAATTTAAATTGAAAAATTCTTAGGGGTTCATCTAGTCCAGCCTCTTGCAAAAATATGGAACTTTAAAAAAACTGTCTGTAATAGGCTTATTTATCCAGATTTTCAGGTCATATATTTGTTTATAAGATACATTTTTTTTCTGAAACTGTCTGCTTTTACAAATGCTTTCAAAGTTTCAATGTCCAAGTATGCTCTGGTTTTGTACAAGCTGGGTTCCTCCTGAATTATACAGGTCTATACAACCACACTCCCTAATCTTCTCAGACATATGTTTCAAGACAAATGATTGCCATCATTTCAATAGCTCATTTCAGGGCTTTCTAAGCCATACTTTAAATTGCTGCAAAGGTACTTAACCCACTAAAGGCCTTAAATATACATACCCCTTCTTCTCTTGGAGTTTTTGTTTGCTTGTGTGTTTTCTTTGAGGAGAACTGTGTGGGAAAGGGGAGGTAAGAAGCAGATTATACAGCTGTGTGTTCAACTCTCCATGGGCTGCCACTCAGGGGGACCTAGACAGGCCAGAGGAATGGGCCAGCAGGAATCTCATGACATTCAACAAGGACAAATGCAAATCCTGTACCTCAAAAAGATTTTAACATCTGCACCATACAGGGAGCAACCCTCCGAGAAGGGAGTGGGGGAGCAGGCTACAGAGGAGTGAGCCCCATGCTATTCCATGTGTTAATAGCATGATCATGTTCCAAGCTTGTGTACATGGATGCTCACCATGTCACCCTGCTCTTTCATGGGTTTTCATAAAACAGATTGAAACTAGAGGTGTTCTTGGCCCATTTACAGCTCAGGCCTTTACCTCCTCTGGAGCTTGTATCAAAATACTGCTGGTTTGGTTAGAGGGTCAAGTGCATCCATCACAGATGGAGCATCTCCACAAGCTCTGTCTTGGCTTCAATGTTTTCACTCAACAAGTCATAGGGTGACAGTCTCATGGATACATAGTGAGGCAGGGGAGAGGGGAGAGCTTGTGGTGGAAAACTTATCTAACCACACAAGATAATAGAAACAGTTTATTTGTATCTTTTATAGCAGTAAACCTGCAGCCAACATCAGGAAGACTGCTTAGAGATTCAAGAGAAAATTCTCAGCCCTTCATTATTTGAGAAGCAAAGGTCTGATATGCAACAGCACTAAACCTTTGCTGTATCTGCAACTGTGTGGCTGCAGCCACAGAAGAGTGCAGGGATCAGTGACCTAAGTCTGTGGCACCCCTGAAGATGTCAATGAACAATGCACCAAACGTATTCTTGGATCCAAACGCAAATCGCTTTCAAGTTAACATCATTAATGAAGACCATGACAACAATGAAACGACCCAAGAGGATGTGGGCTCTGACCCACCTCATTATGAAGAAACATCTTTTACTGATGAAACACACAACAGACTAAGAATCAGTTACAGACCAGGAAAAAGAGAATTATATGACAATTTCCGTCAAAATGGGGAGAAAACAGAAGCTAGCTTACACCCCTATGATACTCACAGTAAAATGTATTATCTACAAACTTTTGGCCATAACACAATGGACCCAGTTCCCAAAATTGATTATTATAGAAACACTGGCAGCGTCAGTGGGAATAAGCTCAACAGACCAAGCTTATTAGAGATTCATGAACAACTGGCAAAGGTAAGTGAAAAGGAAAGATATAATTTTTCTTTATTCCATTTCCAGACTGTTAATTCTGTTTATTAATAAGAGAAAGTCCTTAAATTCATGGACCTTGCCAAAGAGAAGTGCAAGTAACTACCTACCATATTTCCTTTGCTAGCTGCAGTTTGTTCTCTGCTCTGCATCCTGCTCAAAGAAAAGATTTTTATTAAAAGGTATTTGTAATGTACTTGATAAGCAGAAACACATAGCTTAATCTTGTCTAAAAGTATGGATCTACCAAATCTCTTCTGTTTCACATAAGAGTTAGGATGGCAGATGGTGAATGTCAATTCATACTTTAACCAAGCTACACAATTCACACTTATTCTAAACTTGAATTTTACATCAATGCATACTAATTTTGACAGATTCCTCCATTTTACTGATTAACCAATATAAGCATTATAAAAAAATTTGTGTGAAACAAATGCAATTTCAGTGAATCAGATATCCAGAGCACTACCTGCTTGTTGCTGTGACAAATCCAAATAGCAAGAAGGAATCAAGAACAAGGGTGTTGAGGGATAGCAGACACTTCTCAGGTGCTGATTCAGTGAAAAAAAATTGAGGTTAATATGCACTTAACAGGGCAGGGCTGGAAAGAGAAACATCATTGCTATAGTTAAACTGAGACTAAAAGTGTCAATACGCAGCAAAACCTCCTGCTCTTTTTTTGAGTTAGACAATTGTGAAATGAGAAAACTTGAGCAAAAACAAGCTCTCATCCCCATTCTGCTCAGTTCTTCATACTTCTGAGGTCTGAATAATTTGGACAAGCTCCTGTTTTTTGAATGCTTGTCCAGATCTTGTTCAGATTTCTGTTCACTGGCAATTCCTCTTTCCTATGGAGGTTAATATAAAGTAATGAAATCAAGAAAAAATACAGCCATTTTAGGACCTGATTCTTTAGGATCTTATTAGGGCAGTTTACTAGTTTTGGCCTGACTTTCTCAAATTAAGCTGTCCATAGACCTGTGTAAAATGGCTAAAAGGACAAACATTTCCAAAGATGAAAACAAAGCAGATACAAAAAGGAAAACATACCAATTTAGTATCCCTACTCATTTGCAGATGTACAAACTGCTACTGAAAGGACTAAACATGCTCAAGAAGAAATATTCTCTTATAGAAATAATTTACTTCAGTAGTGGTCAGATAAGAGTAAAACTTTATATTGGCTTTGAAAATAAGGCTGAATGAACACATACTGAACATCAGCACATTAAAGGATTTTCAGTTTTGATGGTAACCAGAAAATTCTGGGGTTTTTACTGTTGTATCTTGCAATGGTTTGTCTATTTTAAACAAAAGATAATTTTTTTAGTTTTTTTTTTTTAAGGCTTTCACTTAAAAATTATTAAAAAGAAGGCAGATTACATCACAGAGTAAAATGAAGAGAAAATTGTTTCATGTGTTGGGACTGTTAGAAAAAAGAGAAAGAAGCATAATCTAACTAAGAGATTTCCAGACTTTTTCCTGTATCCAGTATCCATCTTACAGAAAGAGAATCTTATGCCTTTCAAAACAGGAAGGTGAATGTCATAGGTAATGTGATTTTTGTTACACTGGCAACCTGCTGTGCCCTTTTGTGGGTTGTGGCCCAGGTCTGGGAGCACAAGCACAGCTCTGGAACAAACGATGCCCCATTAGCATGGCTGGAGCCCATTTCTGCCTGTCCCATGATCTCACTTGGTGACCTTGGACAAATCACTTCTGTCTGCTGAGCTTTGCTGAGGAATAAACAAGCACGAGGTCACCAAATAGGATCTTAATAGGGAGGGGAATGGAGATGTCTGAGAAGGCAGAGCTCTCTCAGGAGGCACAGGCTGTGAGTGCTCTGGATGGGAGGAGGTGCCACACTGAGTGTGCACAGGAGTTACAGTAATAGCCCAAGGTGCTCTCCTGAAGTAGTGCACTTTTATTCCTTTTTTACTTAACCACTAAAGTCTGGATTTACCACACCATACCCCAAGGCAATCCCACCCCCCCTGCCCCCGATTTGAAACTCAAGTTTTTGAAGACAACTGTTCTGTCAGAGCCTGTTGCAAGATTCTGATAAGAAGTGGCATATGTTTGACTTCAGATTGCTAAACATCACATAAGCATTCCCATTGTGCTTTGATGCTGGGCTTAACATCATTATTAATATTTAATACATTTTTAATATGTAATTTTTCAAATGTCAGAATGTAAGGCAGGCTGAAAGGAACTTCAAATATCTAGTTTCCACACTGCTGGAGTCAAATGTGTGTCATCTTTTAGCAAGATGTGTCAGTTTTTGCACACATGAAGCCAATTAAATTCCTAAAAAATAGTCTAAGTGCTATTTCACAGCTGATGGCTGGTGATAATTACTTGGGCTTAATATTTACCCTACATAAAAAATAATCTAACCTTTCTTCCTCTTGGCTATTCTCCACACTTCTTATGGAGATTTGATGAGCTCATCATCTTTAGCCCCAGGAGAGATGAAGACTAAGCCATTCTGAAATAAGGAAAGGAAAATGTTTGGGTTAGGTTTTTTTGGGTTTTTTAAAGCAGTAAACTTTTTATTTTAGTCGCTTTTCAAAATGTTCTGTCACTTTTATTCCACATTCTTAATGCATGAGTAGCACAGGTACAGCTGCTTGGTAAATAACCAATCATTCACTAAAGCACACCAATTTAAAATGCATTTATGGAAGGTTTAAGGCCATAATTTATGATAATGGCATAGAGAGCACAAATTAATTCAAACTACAGAGGAAACAACTTGTTTCAAGAACAAAGACCAAGCCCTTTTAATTTTTTTGTCTTTGAAATTCTAACCACTGTAGCAAAAGCCTGTCATATCATTCTGTTAATCTTCCTTCATTGACTTCAATCATTTACTGTATTTTGAGCAAACACAGACATTATTATTTCAGGGTAAGAATTGTCAAAAATATCTAAGTATCTCAAAGGAGCTCAAAGTCACAGGCTTTCAACAGATCTTGTATTCCCACTTTTCTTTGGGCCAGCAGGGCACTAGGCACCAAGCTTAGCCCACGTCAAAACATATTATCCAGTCACTTATTTTTAATTTCTGAGCACAGCCTGGGATTTACTGTGTCAAAGGCATTCTAAAACCTTATATCATTTTGGCTAGAGCTCCCCTCCTTGAGAGGCAACTCCAGACATCAGTATAAGAGGCATATACAGCTAGTCTTTATGTCTGTTTTGGGTCTGTGTGTCGGCTATTTTTAAATTTATGGACAAAATATTGAAACAACCTTAAAGTTAACCAAGATTTAAAATCTCATGTTTCACAGAATCACAGGTATCTTTCCTCCCTGACCTGCTAAGTTAATCTGAAAATCTCTTCATCATCTACCAAAGCCTAAAAGCATCTTGATTCCTCTCTAGGAGTGGTACCCACTCCTGACTCTCTGCCAGACTATGGCAACGTGCAGGGTCCTTCCTGAAGGCCTTTGAGGAGGACCCACAAAAATCAGGCAATTGCTAACCTAATGCCAATTCCTCACAGAAACAGTGGAAGCTCTGAATAAAAAAAATCAAATTTAATCAAAAGACAATTACAATGAGTACAAATCTCAGCACCATGACTAATTCCTATTCAAGCCACAAGAAACATATCATATATCAAAGATTCTGAGGCAAGAGAGCTGAAGAGATAAAATACACATTTATATCTGTAACTGATGTGAACAATCTAAAATTCTGGGCTCCTCACTCTGGTTGCACCATAAATATGGCAATTCCCAATCCTATCTATGATAACACCAGTTGTGGCTAAGAATAGTTTGCAATAAAAACAGGTTAGTAGCAGATCAGGTAATCATGTATTTACTCTGCTTAAGTAGAGTAAATTCTAAAAGTGATTCTTTCATTTCCTCCCCTTGTCAGCAAGCCCACCTGCTGATGCCTGGTGTGAGCAGAATATTGCTCTCTACTCCAGTGGCTGGAAAACGTGATCTTTGGAATTCTTTTCTATCATGTCTCCCTTATGCAGCCAGGTGTCCTCTGCCTGGCCCAAAAGATGTATTTGTTTTCTGTGTGATCCTCCAGAACATTGCTGTGAGCACCGGCTCTGTGGAGAGAGTGGCGAATGGAGAAAGCAGCGCTGGAGATGAGACAGCAGCCAGCAAGGAAGAAGAAAACAAAACAGGATTTGTCAAGTTCGGCTGGGTGAAGGGTGTGCTGGTGAGAAACTTACCTGCATTTCTGAAAAAACAATTTACAGAAAATTAAATCAGTTCTGTTACACTTAAGTCTCCGAAGAATTAAGAGAGGGAGGCAGACTTCAGGCATGTTTGGGGTGAAATGCAGTTTATCACCCTTCTGGTTTTAAACATTACTTTCAACCTTGAACTAATGCAGTAATTTTTCTTTAAAACCTAGGTAAGATGCATGCTTAATATTTGGGGTGTGATGCTCTTTATTCGACTTTCCTGGATTGTAGGTCAAGCAGGAATTGGTATGTATCTTATTTAATATCATTTTCAACAGTGAAAGGGATAAAGAGGATAAACTATACATGATCATGATTAATATATAATCTGAGATGTGCATTTGCATGTTGAACTAAATAATGTTTTCAAATGCTTGCCAGGGTAAAAGACATTAATCCTCCAAACTATTGGAATTTTCCAGACTCACAGCCAAATTACTGCTTAGAGGCATAGATCTGTTAACTATGCATATGATCATCACATTTGAATATTTCTGAGCTTTAGTGAAATTTGTATTTAGATCCTGTAACAGATGTAAACTTTATGACTCGGGCCAATTTCTAATATGTGCGTACAGAGTTAACCTTTAAGAGTTCACACTTTGCTTATCTGTGAAACCCAAACCTTGTCATCTACATATTATAAACAACACTTCTTCACACTTCTCTGCCAAGATGAAAACAGAAGTGGAAGGAGGTCTCATCTCATCAGGATTTTGTTATTTTTAGCTACAGAACAGCACTTGATACTAGTGTACTATGAAAGACTAAGTTTTAAAAACTCTGCTACAGCTTTCATATAAATGAAATAAGCACATTCCATTGTGTGCTGTATCTTTGCTTCTTCATTGTGCAATTTAATTAATCCAAATACCAGATTCCTGGGAGACTGGGCCCCAAGGCCACCATCCAGTATCTTGCAGAGTGTTCAGTGAAACCAGTGGGAGGGGGAAGAGCTCCCAGCAGTGCAAGAGGAGCTCAGCGAGGTGCAATGTCCCACAGCTGGGTGCTACCACTCCCTTTTCAGAGCTACTGCTCTGGGGAAGCACAGAAGCCTGAGCTGCCATGGCAGTGTCCCTCTGTGAGCCTGATCATACAATTAGAGCAATGGGACTCTGATCTTTAACTGGCACCCAGATGTTTTAAAAAACAGCAAAGGCAGGACCGCAAATAGTCCAGTTTGGATAATCACAGAATGGAAATATTCAGTTATATTAAGGGGTGTCAGCTCTGCTGGACTTGGATAAAAGTCAGTGCTCAAAATCAGATTGACTATAACTATCATTTATGTCCTTGTCAATGGAAGTGAAATGAAACCTCTCCAAAATTTTGCATGGTTGAAGTCTCATTTCCAATAAAAAGAAGTAACTTCATAGAAGTTTCACTTGAGCAAGACTGAGCTTTTAATAGAAAAATAGACTGAGCTTTTAATAGAAAAATAACAAAGAAACACTTGCTAAGAAAAAAATCACAAACTTACAGAGACACAAATAGGAAAAGAAAAAAGAGCCCAGCAATAAAAGATCCAGAACTAAGCGGAAGAACTTTACTACTTCTGCCGTGCTCCATGCATGGCTCCAGCACTGTGCCTGACAAAAGGGTGCTTTCTGATTTTATGATGCATACCAAATGAGCACATACAGCCCAGGGCACTCATAACTATATGCCTTGCCATGAAAATTCTGCATCTTAATATTGCCAAGACTTTGCTCTAGGGTTTCATGCAAAATTAGTTTTTAAGGGCAGTTTAGTAACTTATTGAGATCATCAAGAAGTATTACTTTGTTTTGAGGTGTGAGAATAGCCATGGGCAAGAGTAATTCATTTTGGAACAACTTACTTAGGAGCCATATGCCTGGTTTTCAATCTAAACTTTAATCAGATTTTAACATTAATTTGCACCAACATCAGTTACAACTTTCCTGCTTTCATTTTTAATTTTACCACTTTAACTCATTGATAAGCAGGCTCTTCTTTCTTACAGTTTATTGCTCTGCTGCTGCTTTTTAAAATTGCATGTGTTATGCAAGGGGGTTACTTTTATTTTTGAAAATGAGATGTCAAATTCCATTTGAATAATTTCTCAGTGCATTTTTGGAATGCCTTAAAAGCAATAAGCTTTAAGTCCCCAGCCAAGCTGCTTAAGGAGAACAGTGATGGAAGCTCATCATCACCAAGGCTCAGGGATTTCACCGGGTACTGCTACTAACATGGAAATTAAATGAGACAGTTAAACCACCATCTGGGCACCATTTACATCCCCATCATTAGAGGGCCAAAGAGAGACAACCCAATTATTTTCATACCCTGATAGGCTGTCTTGGGTAAAAGCTCTTACAGGGGGAAAAAATAGCATTCTGCAAGGTTCTCTGGCTATCATCAGCTAGGGAAAAAAAAAAAGGGACAGAATAGTTCTGACAAGATTCCAGGTCCAAAACTAGTCTGCTATTTCCACCTAATATCTGAGGACTCTCTGAAATCTGTGTTTGTACCTGTACATGGAATGGTTAGACAAAGGCAGGGAAAACCAAGTTTATGCTACCTGCAAATCTGGCACCAAATATTAGAATTATGTTACATTACATTATATTACAATGATGTTTTGGTTGAGTCACTTCATTTTATGCACTTTTCTTCTTAAATGCTAAAATATTTTTTTTTAAAATTATCATTAAAGCCTTCCCAAGAAGATGTTACTATCAGATTAGCAAAATATCTGACCCTACAATATCACATACATGTTAAAAATATGAATTGTGAAATGCAATAGAACATCCTTGAAAAGTATCCTTAGGGTGCACACAGCAAATAATTTTAAAACTGCTTTGAGAATTATGTGTCCTACTTACTCAATTTAAGAGTTAACAGCTCTTAAAGTCAGTCCCCTTCTCAGACACAAAATTTGCATGGTTGAACAATATCCTTCATAGCAGATCCTGCTCAATGGTAGCTGATCAAAAGTAATGACCATTTGGAATTTTTTATCTAGACCTGCACATTAAAACACTTTCATGACTAGGTGTAGTAAGAGTTCAGAAATCAGTAAGATAAACATGATTTATTAGAGGCTCAAATCACTTTAAATATGCTACACTATGTTATATATCACTTATAGCTCACACATTACATTGCTTTATCTTAAAGGATTGTGATAACATGGCTGTAATTTAAGCAGCAAAGAACATTTATTCAGGGACTAGATGTCTATAACCATCCAGTATGAACAGAACTCAGGAATCTGATCTGTAAGTCAGATGGTAGAAATACAGCAGATAAATCAATAAGTTTGTAGCACTCCTAGCTCAATGTCAATTGTAGGATCTAAGTTTCGATTTGGATGAGCCCTGGCAAATAAATACATTTACAAGCAATGTATATTCTCCAGTTCCACGCTGAATGCCTATGTACCCTATGGAAACAAGACCGATATTGCATAAGCCTTAGCAAGTTCAGATAAAACTAAGAACTATTTCCATGCTTGGCACCAAACTGTAATTATTTACTTTTTTCTCCCAGTTTTCTCCCTCCCTTCTCATAGGCAGAAGTGAGAATAAAAGCAATAAAGTTGAGAGAAAAACATTATATTATTTCTTCACCTGACTTGAAACAAAAAGGAGATCTGGAACTACAGAGACAAATTCCTTTAGGTAGTGCCAGAAATGTAACAGCAATGGCTGCAATTGTACCTTGGGAGGTGCAGTTTGTACATGTTTTATTGGGCAGGTAGTCTAGCCCCAGAACATGTAATTCAAAGAGGATCTTTTGTGGGATCTTTATCCATGAGGTTTCCAAGAGGCAGCTAGCCAAGGTCATCACTGATTTCATCCTGTGTTGGCAGTTGTTCTGCTATGACTGGGAGGCTGAGCTACAGACCTTCTGAAATCACTTCAAACTAAAGCTTCTAGGATTCTAAATCACACAAAGTACATCCTGCTCATATGGTTTCTAGCAGTTTTACAAAGTTTAAAGAAAACCAGCCATATAGCCAAAGAGTGGAAACATTATCAGATTTCAGTCTTACACTGAAACCCAGTTACCTATAACTAATCACCTATCCCTGATATTTTGATATTTGATTATCATTGTGTTATCAGCTAAAAAAATATTATAAGTTCTCTATGATTATACATTACAGGTCACCTGTTAAAGTAAATGCATAGAGAAAGCAGTATTTCCATTTTCAAGTGTTTGGTTTGTGTTAGAGTAAAACTACTTTTTGCAGGGAAAGAGGCAGAGAGCAGGAAAGTCCTGCATTTGATAACTTAGCAAGTGAGGATGTAGAAGGCTCCCACTCAGGTCTTGTCCCTCTGCCTGACAGACTCTTTGTTCTCATGCACTGTGAATCTATACAGTCAGTCTCCCTCTGATTCAACATTTCATTAACTGATGAAAGACAACAGTGTTGTCACAAGAGCTCTAGTTCATGTGCCTCTCTTAGTTTAAACAGCCAGGACGTATGTTAAAGGCAGATATAAGCATCCATGTCAAGGGATGCCTGTTTGTTTGTTTCCTCCATCCTTTGGAAATCATAAGAATTCCTGGACAGGGTACTCCTATCAGAAAGAATCACTGCTTGAAGACTGATGGGAATAATTTACTATGGTGACACAGACTTCATGAAAATGTTCTGCAAGCGGTCCACAAACCATCTTTTCAGTTTACTGCTGTGATTCTGACTTGAAAATTCAATTTAAAGAAAGAATGATTTGTAGGAAACATGGAACATGAGTAAAATATTTTATCTTCTTATTACTGACAGGTCTTGGAGTAATCATAATTCTTCTCGCCACGATGGTAACCTCAATTACTGGGTTGTCAACTTCTGCAATAGCAACTAATGGGTTTGTCCGTGGAGGTAAAAATCTTAGGGTTACTAATGCTTTCAAG